TCGCCTTTGGGAGGTGCCTGAGTCACTCGTCGGTATCCAAACACTGTGCTGAACATCTTCTGTTATCGTAGAGGATTCAGTTTTCATTACACGTGATGATCTGATCCAAAAAAAGAATAATTTTCGTTGCGCAAAAACAAAGGAGAACATACCTCAAAACGTGATAATTTCTGTCGATCATCCAAATCTTGGGACACTCACTTTTCGAGCTTTCTGATCTTTCCAAAACATTTTAAACTATCAAAAACTGCATGTGAGCTGACGCTTAGTTCTTCCGCCATACCTCGCAACGGAACTAAATTTCGCAAACAAAACTCATTGCCAAATGCTTGGTTAATGTTTCAGCAGCGCTTTGGTTCAATTTGAATTCGTAGAGAAAAATTTGGAAAATCGCTCAACGACATTTTGTTTTTTCAGGATGTTAATGACAAGGTTGAATATTTTACTGATTTGATGCTACTCATTTTTGATACTGTTGCGCCAGTAAAAAAAAAGTGAGGAAGGTTCAACAACCGTGGTTCTCTGATGTGAAACTGATGATAAGGGATTAAACTCTTAAAAAATTCAAAAAAAACTAAGAACATTACTGATTGGAACTATTATAAAATGCTAAGAAACTAAATCAATATCATGATGAGAAATGAGAAAAAAGCATATCTTAATCAGGTTATAAGTGGTAACCATAATAGTAAATTATTATGNTTCTTTTCTCTTTGTTCTTTCTCTTTTTTAGTTTTCTTTTCTTCAAGGCTAGAACTAAGATCAACAGTACCCTTCCGGTACATGTTGTTTCTAGCCTTATTTGTACTTTTTTTATCATTTTCATAGATTTAAACTTCGTTTTAATTGCATTTCAATGAATATAAATAAAAAATTTAAAAAAATTAAATATAAAATTCGTAACACTATTCATCACAAACCATATTTCAAATCTTCTTTTATGAATTTACCATCCATCACGGCTTCTAGGACACGGATTTTGTTTTTATATATCACTCCAATAGTTTTTCTTGTATTTGTGAAAGAATCAATCGGCAACGTCATTTGAAAAAGTTTAGAACCTGGAAGCTTCACAGACGTTCTGTGTTTGAAACCTTCAATTCCTTTATATTCGTAGACTCGCAGTAATCTTTTGTTCTCCAGAAAAACCAATAATGTTTCGCATTGGTCGAACTCTATAGATAGTAAGGAGAAAGCTTTATAAGTCGGCACTTTGTCGAAGAGCTCCCCTTTTATGCCATCTCGATATATCTTGACGAAATCCAAACGAACTTTTCTAATAGTTTCTTCGTGAGTTGCGATGGCCAAAAGATTTTTTCTTGCACTTTTTTTTTCCAGGTATAAATTCATTATCGACACTTCTGAATTCACCTCTTATAGTCACTTCAATATTATTGTCTACTTCATCTTCTACTATGGAATCTGACTGGTGTAGGTAGATAATTTTTCTTCCTGTTCGCAAGGCTAATCCGGTTTTCAAGCCTGTGTTGCATGAACGCAACATTTTCTTCAATGATGTCCCATTTCCTATATTTCCTATAACCTGCAAAGTTTTTTTTCACTCTGTATTCAATAACTCCATCTGCGTTAATGGCATAGAAAGTGGCTGGTATCAGTGACTCTTGAAGAAGTATTTGACTTTCCATATTCATCATGCACCATATCCAGGTTTTTATCGGTGAACTTCCATATGTTGGTACCAACTAGTGTTACATTTCCCTTCTTCAACCCCACGTAGGACAAGATAGATATCATTTTCATCATAAACAGGCATCACTTGTTCGATTGAGCCTGATCCAATGTTCTCTATCAATGGGAGGAAAACTGTAGATTGAATATTTATTGTATTTATATGTAATAAGGAACTACAAATAAATATTATTATTTTTATTATATAGTAAATAAGCTGAAAAGGGGAGAAAATTAAAATTTAGAAAAATGAACAGCATCAATGTTTAAAGTACAAAATCCTCTATCGATCAGTATATACCACGACACAGTAGAATGAATATTCATGGAGCTTTGGAGCTACAAAAACTCATGGCATTTGAACGGATAAAACTTCTGAAAAAGCCAACGGTATTTTGTGTAGGAAATCATTTTTAAAGAAAATATTTTGTTTTATACTACTAATATTCTTCAATAATATGCAGAGAGTAAAAAGTGAAACACATTCATTATTTCATCTTATTCTTTCACAAAAATCCTTGAACAGTTTGTTATGAATTTTCATATGCGGATTCTTCGATTAATAATATTCGCGCTTCGCGTCCTAAGTAGACTGGTTAGAGCAATTAGGCTGGTTAGACCAGTTTAACTGATGAAGCTACTGATAGCGATATGAGTCTTTTTGTAGACTAGCGGTTCTCAAACTTTTTTTGTGATGGAGCCCTTTTGGAAAGCGAAATACTTGACGGAACTCTACAATAAAACCATAGTTTTCAAAAGTGTATTTTTTATAATAGATCGGCAGCCTGTGACAGAAATGTACCCCATTTTTTACCGTCTGCCTTTTTCAGAGGACATATTTACAGCCACAAGCAACAATATTAGGCGTTGATTGAATTTTTTTCCCAAGTTACACATGCTCAAACATCAACTCTAGTTTGCATGAAAAAAAAGCTTCTTTGACCAACATTGTACCATCCGCCATTCATGCGACCGGAAGGCTAGGTTACGCAACCCACAAAAAAATTATTGGCAGACGGTTACATGGTGTTCTGGCTAAAGCATGAATTTTTCATTTAGCCAAAAAAATGGTTAACTGAAATCAATTTTTTACCGTCTGTCAATCACAGCATAGACTAATCTCAAGCATAAACTGTTTATGCTTAAGGTAGCTATTGTATAGCGAAACACGTGTCGCGGTTTTTGTAAAACCCTTTTATAGTGAAAATCATACAATAAACTGTATTGATTAGTTTTTTTTANACGCAAAATGAGAGAAGAATACTCACCGCCATTATGACAAGCATTGGATATTCATCACGGATACTGCACCAAAAATCATTAAAAGGCGTCGTTATAGTGGTCGTGATTTGATGAAATAAATTATTTTGATCGCTTCATCCATAACTTAATTTTTTATTTGACGGCATTTGCTTCATCGCGAATGCTTGTCTATTCAGGATGCAATGGCCGGAACTACAATTGGGCATTTTATTTTTATTCGTGACTAGTACTATGTTGCTGTATCGCTGCTGTTCCAGTGTTTTTACAGAATCAGAATCAACGAACTTAGGCGTGCGCAGCGTTATAAAACATTGCTTTCGAAAAATTGTTCTACAACGTAATCTAGTGGCGAGTTACAGAAAAATGGATAGCCTAAAAACCTTCTCTATGAAAAATTACTTATACATGTCGAGTTTCATCACGATCGGTTGAGCGATGTAGAAGTTTATCACTTACCAACCAACCAACCAACAAACATCCATTTTTATATAGTAGATACTACTCCTGCTGTTTTACCCGTCATCGCCTTGGCCCTATCTGTACAAAATGTCAATGCAATCGTCCCAACTGAGATTATTTTCTTCAAAACATATATTTGTTTTATTAAAAATTTCCTCTTTGGTAGTGTTTATGGCTAACGGTGAACACTTAAGCATGTTTTCTTCAAAATAATTTTCATATGGATATCTCACGATAACCAGCAAGATAGCCAGACCAGCGATATTAGTCGACTCATCCGTTTGCAAGACGAATCGTGTTTTTTGTACATGTATAACTAGTTCTTGTTTAACTTAGCTTGCCAGATCATTAATTCTTCGTGTAACAATATCGTTTGATAGCGAGCGGCACAGTAAAAATATGCTTTGCAGATTTTTCATCGAGCATACATTTTGTTATGTCTAAGACACATGATTTTATTACATTTTCAGCCATAGTGTGCGCTTCACCTGCTTATACAATCCAATTGCTAACTAAATATGATGCCACCGTGGCATTTTCATTGATAGTTTGGGTTTGGGTTATAATTAGAGCCGAAAGTCGCCTATTCACAACTATACCGTCTAATCTCAGAGGCGGCTTTTATTATAGGGACTGCGCGCTAACAAGTAGATACCGGTGGTGGCGGCATAGTAAAATTGTTTGGCATGTTCACCCAAATGGCTTGCATCGGATTCTTTGGAGTAGCCGAACGCCGTTTTTCGGCAAGGCAGGCTTTCTCTCGACCGGGGCGGCGGCGGCCCGTTTGTGTCGGTCTAACAAAATATGCCAATCATTTGAATGAGCAAAGTATACTGTGGTAGGTGGCGACTAAGTTCGACTGCACCTCGTTAATCGTGATACGCTGCGTCAAAACGGTGTACCAGAAAAATGTGTTTTCAATTTGTTTTCAAGAGGCCCTTTTTGAGGCTTTGGCCATTATTCTCAAAATATACTTCTGCGCAACGAATACATTTAATATCGAAGTCGAGTTACCCCACATACATATGTCATGTCTCAGTCTGGAAGCTACTTGAGCATGGTATAGTGCCAAAAGTTGCTGATCTGTCAATATATCTATTAGGTTTCTGAAGAGATAACCTAATGAGTTAATTTTACTCGTTAAATTCGAACAGTGTTGTTTCCATGTCAAACATACTTCAATGGTAGTTCCCAAAAAATTTGTCTCTCCTTTTTCCAGAATTGACATGTTCTTAATTTGAAAGTGAATAGGCACGAAATGTTTTTTGTCGATTGTGAAATCTAACCAATTGTGTTTTGTTTGCATTGAGATAAAGAGAATTAGGTCTGCACAAGTTCATAACAGATTTCGAAGTATATTTACATTTGTCTAAAAGTAAGTTTTCATCCATGTCAGATACTATTAAAGACGTATCGTCGGCATACATTGCTGAAGAAGTATTGCTAATATGTGATTCCAGATCATTTGTATATAAAAGGAACAATATAGGCCCTAATACAGATCCTTGCGGAACACCCATTGAAATATTTAACAAACTTGGATTACATCTATCATAAGTACTCATACTGTGGTTTCTACACTGTAACATAGTGTTGCCTATTTTCTAAAAATTATAAAATCCAGGAATGTGCTTCGCCACGAATGCCGTATGAGTGTAACTTTGACAACAAAGCATTATGATTGACGCAGTCGAATGCCCTGCTGAGATCACAAAAGAATAAAGTGATATAGTGACTATACTTACAGAAATAGTATCGTATGAATAAAATCCAGTCATATTGAAGTTGCCCATATCTGCAGAAAACGGTCTTCCGTCTTTCTTATAAGATGAAGATTTTTCATGATAGTAATAATTGTGGAACACTGAAAAATATGTAGTTGTTGAATCATGCTTTATATATTTGTTTTCAATGAAGATTGCTGTAGAAAATTAACAAAAATTTTTAATTTGTCATCGTAAATGACTTCCCTGCAAAACTTATCATTGTCTGTTAATACCAAGTCATGTTTCTAAAGGCGGATTTCCATCAAAAGGACAAAACCAGAAGAAAACAGCAACTGTGTCGGTTTCGACAAAACAAAAATTCGAGTTGTGAAAATAACATACATTTCGAAGACTTTGTGTCACGGGCGACTGTTTTGTCGACAACGAAATGTCCCGTCGGCTGGCGGTAAGATTGAAAGGCTTTTGTGTTTTATCTGTGTTTTAGTAAACAGAGTTCACTATGTGGAAATTGTCGGCGACAACAACAAGCAACTATTCAGATGTAACATATCTCTTTGTATTATGTTTGGAAATTTTTGATACCAATACATTTAACAAGTTCTCGAATTTCGTGATTGGACATTCTTAGAAATTACAAGAAACGATGGTCTCAGTTCCATTTGTTCTCATGTTATCCTTTATCAAATCTGCCATAATTTTATTCGTCTTTTTAACAATGATCTCATCCAGTATCTTGGTTCCTTTCGCTTTCGCTCCCTTCGCTCGAAAGATTCGATTATTTAAAAATCGCAGCCAATTATAAAAACATAGTCTAGAGAAAGTATGATGAAAACTGTTCGTGTAATAGAAACGACAGAAAACATTTCACAACAAAAAGCGGGTCTCAGACTAGTTTTTGTCTGTTTGGTAAAATTCAAGAAAAATATGTAGTAGTTGAATCATGCTTTATATTTGTTTTCAATGAAGATTGCTGTAGAAAATTAACAAAAATTTTTAATTTGTCATCATAAATGACTTTCCTGCAAAACTTATCATTGTCTGTTAATACCAAGTATTGTTTCTAAAGGCGGATTTTCATCAAATCAATCAATCAATCAAATCAGAAAACATTTCACAACAAAAAGCGGGACTCAGACTAGTTTTTTCTGTTTGGTGAAATTCAAGTTTCGCGTTTGTTTTCGAAACTAAAACAAGTTCTTTGTTTCTCTTTTTGAAAACAAAACTAGTCGCAAGCGAGTCCATTCGGTGGAAATCCGCCTCAACATTGTAATACCCTAGATGGAGTATATGCTGTATCCGAAAACATACTGCATTTTCTACACAAAAGAAAGAAGACGATATTGCAATACAATAAATACACTTTGGGGTAAANCTTTGCTCCTGTTTGAAGAATATTCTCTGAGCAAATATTCAATCTAATTCTGGTGATGGATAATGCAAGTTATCATTGTAGTAAAGTTGAAAGCATACCAACTAATGCATGAAAAAAATCGGATAACGTTGAGTGGCTTCAACGAAATAAAACTACATTTTACGAAAGTATGGTTGAAAAAAACTGTTGTCCATAGTATGTTTGAATGAAGCTCGTTTCACAGAGTGTTTAATCGACACAGAAACGAAATAATATCAATCTGCGTCTGCTCCCTTATCATTGCGAACTCAATCCCATTGATCTGGTTTGAGTTCAAGTACAGGATTTCGTTGCAAGAAGAAAAACGGCATCCAAAATAAAAGATGTCACAATACTCTACGAGGAATCCTTAAAAATGTCGATTCCAAAAAATGGCGAATATGTTTTGAACATTTCACGAAAGAAGAGGACAACTTCTGCAATTGTAAGATTCATCGGATTTATCTGATGATAACACACCATAATCAATTCTTATACTTAATATATATTTATTATCATATGAATAAATGAATTCAAATATTATGAAAGTATTGATTGTATATGAAAAAATAAACATGGTTATTAGTTTCAACAAGTATTTTTGATACCCAAGAACACGCCACTTCAGGTAGAAAACTACTCGAACACTCATAAAATTGTTTGTTTGCGATACAAAAATGGGATGGACCCGGAAAAGTATTATAAACCCGCCTATACCAGCTGCGGTGAGTAATAATGGAATTTTAAAACTTTGTTCGACCACTCTGTTAGAATTTCGAATCAATAATTACTTTTCACTATAAGGAAACAGAATTTAACCTGATATTGCAGATAAGTGCTGATAGATGGTGGTGGTAATGGAGTGATATTTGGTAATTGACAATTGTTTATTTCTCTCACAATCAACTGAGTAAAATAAATAGGAGAAAACAATAGGAGTTGACTTACAGATCTTTTTAAGTTAGTCAATAAGCTCTACTTAAAAACAGTATCGGAAAGTGTATGACAGAAAGAAAATAAAAAATTTAGTAAAAAGGTATCCAAGCATACCATTTTTTCCTATAAGTTGGGTTTCATATTATGAAAATTGCGTAAAAACCAAATATTCTCTATTTTATTATGAATGAAAACACCATATATAACAATTGGTAACTTACTACATCCAGGGGTTGTAATGGCTGAACATTTAGAGGAAAGCAACCAAGTCTGAGACCAAGCTGTGTCAAAAGCTACATTCATCACTTGTCCTGGTTTCCCAACCATTATTTTTCCATAAAATTCATTCTGTAACAGGTAGCATAGTTAATGATATATAGGAATATATTCAAAAAATTTAGAAGCAGTTGAACAATTTCACATCTTACAATTCTTAACAGTTCCAATGGCGTTTCGGGGAACACTTCCCATAATATTCAGAATTACAATATTGAAAATAAACAAGGTTCATTACGACATCGGAATCAAAATTAAATCCGTTTAAAAAAAAACATTGAATATAAGCCACAATTATTGCAAAATATAATTTTCCTTCCTTTCTTTGGAAGATTCTCTCATTCATTTTGTATCAGATGGAGTAGTAGAAAGCCAAAAACTTTATTTCCCAAAGATAATTTTAATTCTCCAAATATCAATAATTAGTAATTTCCCAAATGTCCCCAAATGACCTCCCTCTACCTACCAATGCAATTTTTAGTATTAAGAAGGCGACATCATATACTTAGGTTAGTTTATAACTCGCTCAGAAGATGACATAGTGTGTCGAAACAGATGTTAATATTAAATGTTGGTGTTTTCTAATGGCGTAAGAACAAAACACAATCACTACAGAAAAATCTTTAAGGCTCTCTCAGAGCGGCGCATGTGCAAAAGTAACGGTTCCATTGGATTTGAATCGCTGGAAGTTGATTTCATTCGTAAAAATGTTCTCAGGAAGTTTATTCCACATAAACGCAGTTCTTCAGATGAAAGAGATCTTAAACAGTGAGATTCCAGGTGTACTGAGTTGAACTTCAAAACGCTGAGCAGCCACACTCCGTGGCGTTTTTCTGATATATACCGCTCTTGATGTAATCAAATATGCCAAGTCACTTGAACACTTCTCGTGAAAGTATCCATGGAAGAGAAACAAATCTCCAACCTTTCTTCGATGCTCCAGGCTATCAAGGTTGCACATGATATTCGCGTCTCGAATCAGGCGGATGGCTCTTTTCTGGATGGAATCCAGCAACTTCAGAGTATGTTAGGGGGGGGAGCTCTATACATGAGAAAAATACTCCAAAGAAGGTCTGATCTGAGTTTTATAAAGCATCAAAAGTTGCTGAGGTGTGTACAGTTTTCTGGTTCGGAACATTATTCCAAGCTTTTGAGAAGCAGCCTTTGCAATTCCAGCAACATGATTGTGCCAAAACATATTGGTGTCCATTTTAACCTACAACAAACTTATCGAAGCAGAAAGCGGAGAAAACCGATGCCTGGCTTTTTGTGGCGTTGAGATGAACCTGGTTACTTTCACATCAATTCGAAATCACTTCTAAATCCTCATTAAGATATGCAACGTCCTGCTGCCGGTGGAGATGTGCCTCCGTAACGGATGCCCTGCAATCCAAATGGAATGACGAGACAAGTGCGCTGTCATCAGCAAAGCAATGTATTTGATTCTTGGTTTCTTCCAATGAGTCGTTGACACATGATATAAAGAGAGTTAGAGACAATATGGATACCTGTGGGACCCCAGCGTATTCGAGAGATATCCATTGACGGCCACTTCCTGGGAACTGTCTATCAGGAAGCTGAAGAGCCATACACAAAAATGATCCGACAAGCCATATCATCGAAGTTTCGCCAGCAAACCCTCATGCCACTCACTGTCAAAGGCCTTTGAAATATCAAGCGTAACAGCTCTTGATTCTCCATGTTTCTTGATTGCGTTATTCCAAATTTGGGTGACATACGATAGAAGATCGCCTGTTGATCTTTGTTTCTGAAAGCCATATTAATGATCGCTCAAGATGGTGAACCTCACCAAATATTTGAGGATATAGTAGTTTACGACTTTCTCCATGATTTTTGATATCAATGAAAGCGACTGGTCTATGGTCATTTGGAAGATTTCTCTTGCTCTTTTTGAGAATAGGTTGAACGCGAGCAATCTTCCAACAAAAAGAAAAAACCCCTTTCGTTGGTTGAAAAGTCTGCAAAATACTGGTGCGAGTTCATTTGCTCACTTTTTAAGTACCTACGATGACGAACACTTCATCAGAGCCAGACGCCTTGTTGATATTGACCTGTTTCAAAATTCGCCTGACTAGACGCTGTCGAAAAGTGATTTTTCGGCATTGTGGATTCTAGTGTCGGAATAGCGGGTAGTACCTTACCCAGCTAGTAGATTTGCTTTTTCCATGACTGTTGTTGCAATTGAACCCTCCGCTTGTGCTAGTGGTGGAATCGTGGATTTTGTAAAGTTCTGATTAACAGCTTTAGCTACCAATCAGAAGGATCTGATCTGGCTGTAAAGTTCTTTGCTTTCATTAATCCTAAGTTTGCATCGGTTGCGAGCATTAACACTGGTAGGCGAGATTTTTGGAGACGAAAGTTTTTTTTGGTTTACCAATTAATTTAAAAATTAGCAACATTGCACAATAAAGCAATCTAACCTGTCGATTGGTAGAATGGGACCAGTAAAATGACTTACAACTTCACTAGACTTGTCCATTTAAGTTATCTGATTTAATCTGTGAAGACCCGCCTGAAGAAGCTGAAGACCGTGTATAGCGAAACACGTGTTTAGTGAAAATCTCACAATGAAGTGTTTTTCGAATTGGTCGGTCGGTAGCCAAGCGGTTCGGCGTGGGTGATTTGTTCACTCACTCGAATTGACTGCCGTGTTGGTCGGTGGTTCAATCCCTAGTCTGAACGATCGATCTCCACTTGCTATCGTCCAACCCGTGTTAGGAATCACACGTTAAAAGGTAAGACCTCGTTAATCCTTAGCTCGCACAAGTTTCGACTTTTGAGGGTTGTCGTTCGTAGGGGTGCGACAGCTGGTTGACGGAAAAACAGATTTTTTTTTCAATTGTCTACAATTATCTGTTGATAATTATTTATGAAATGATTATACCTGCATAAATCTGCAATAAATCTTCATAATTTGGGTGTTTTCAAGCGACAACTATTGATTTCTACTGCTGTACTAATTGTTTCAGTGGAGTGAAATGGTGTCAAGAAAAATGCGTAGTTCCAATTTTGAAAATCAGAGAAGCACCAAGGCAGTTTCAGTTATATTTAATGAACAGGGCAATGTCATAAAGGAATTAAAGAAAAACTTGGTTTTTCGGTTAAATCGGTATAGATTTTTAATTCTTTTATCAGTAGAAATATCGGTTTCAATGAGGTATATCTTCATTCCGATCATCAAATTGTTCACCTCACAAACAACTGAATGAAGCCAGTACAATAATTTCGTTGTCACCCGGTATTTTGTAATAAACTTCAGATGACTGATACATTTCTGTTAAACTTTTATGTTTGTTTCCTATAGTTATTCTCAAAAGACCATACTTACATTTGAATATCTGTATATAGGTACGTCAGGGTACGAATCATTCTTTTCAAACCAATTGAGGTGTGTTCCATACACCAAATACTGTAGGTGAGGATTCGTTTGTCTGAACAGATCCACTCTGAAAAAAAATCAGGTTTAAAAGTTTCAGAATAATAATTCAACTCGAAGCATCATGTTTTGAACATTAACAATCTGTTCGGATTGCCCTTGCCAAGGACAAACAGAATTAATCAATAGTCTGGAATGTTAATATGTATACTAATACAATTCTTACCGGATTGTTCCGTGTTTCTCCTTATAGCAATATGTCACCAAAACAGTAATTGATAATATGAAAATTCGTTTCATTTTTTACACTATTTTACGAACACTTCTTGAAATATTTATTGTTCCTTAACTGAAAGATGGCTTGAGACAGACTGAAAAACGAACAGTGAAGATAAACATTCGAGAAAATGTGGGGTTTACCGAACATGCGGTGTTGAGATTACAATTCAGGCGCTCATATTATTTATTTTATTTATCGTATGCTAACAACGAGTTATAGTCCAGTCCCAGAAGAGTTTCTGAACGCACAGTAATGTTATTCGACGAATACCAGGAGATTCTTGAATATAAAAAAAATCTCTTCGAATTATGGCATGACACTATCGTCATTTTCACAAATAAGTCAGTCATGCTGCATAATGTTCCATAAATAAAGGAAAAAAAAGCATTTACTTCTTGTTAAAAATAACTCTTCGTACGTTTTGAGTATATCTACAATATTCTTTCCCAATATATACAGAATTCTGATTTTTGGAGTTCTTGGTGGATGGTGCCATCTCTACTCTCGAATTTCAACATCATGCCGGCTTTCCAAACTAATAAAGAAGGGTGTCATTCTTGTCTCTTCAGGTCTGCTCAGGGCACATGATTTGCGGACCCAATAATCACTCACCCAACGATGTGAGGAGTGGTCATTGGTTGATGATTTTAGCGCGTCCTGTAGAACGTATAGGAGACAGGCCCGACCAGGTCAACCTTCGGGAAGAAAATAATTATAATAATGCCTGCCAGGGTAATCTACTGTAGTCGCGTGATGGGTATATAGAGGTTTCTGATACCAGGTACAGGGCCTGCTGTGAAGTGCCTGATACTCTCATTCACTGTTAGCACGTTGGGAATATATGGTCCTAGCCTATATCCACCGACGCGGTCTAAGAGTATTTTTTTACCATCTACGGCACTTTTACGGTAGTTATGAGACACCAAAGTTGCACAAAGTAACAAACGCGACCATCGATATTCGTCGTAGAGTTTTCAACTCCAGGTGCGGCGAATATTGTCCGCAAAGAGTAGTAAATATCGAAATTTTGTCTTCAAACTTCGAGGATTTTATCCAAGCCACTTTCTAAAAAGATTTGTTGGAGTTCTCAATGTTATGAAGCCTTTCCTACCCCTACTATTGATTCTCAAGAATATACCAGCTTGTCGCGTTTAAGTAGAAATATTGACTGGAATAATGAAGGAGGCGCATTGAGTCTGCTAAGAGCACTCGATTCTCGGACTCATCGATCGCATACCTCACGGTATTGGAAGTGGTAACTGGTGAAACCGACACACACAGGGTATGACCGGTCCAACCTCTTCAGTGGAAAAAACTTCAATATGTTCCTACGATTTCATAAAGATATGCCGACGTACAAAAATGTGTCCAAGAATATTGAAGACCTTGGCTTCTCCAAGACCTTGACGTTCACTTCATTCAGGTGAAGTGGGCTGGAGTCGAAACTCGAGGGTTTCATCATGGCCTGCCAGGATGTTATCTTCAACACCTTGGTCTACCATAGTCAATTATGGGAATAGAGGTTTCTAACACAAAATGCAGTGCCAACCGTGAGGCACCTGAGACCCTTATGAATTTGGTATCAGCATTTCCGAAATAGATGCGGTCTCAGCCTGAAGCCTTCGACGGAACTTAGCATTATGAATGCGATATTACCATCTGCGGCGCTGACGAATTTTGAGTATTACCGTATGTTCAGGGAATATTGAATCCGTTATGTAGAATGAGAGGTGCCAAATTTATTGGAACTACTCATTGCCCACTTTTAGACAGATAATCATATAAGCTAATAAGCCTGATGTAGTCCTCTTCAACCAATAAGTAAGACGTTGTGTCGTATTCAGCTGCGGGTGGAGGGAATAACGTCTGAAAATAAAGAAAAAAGTAGATGAAAAATCGAGGTTTACTTGGAACTTCGCAGAACTTCTACCCACACCACTCTGTTAAAATGATTATTCTGATAAAAGGAGTCCTGAAATGATGCCTTTGCTCCTCTCTGGTCTCAAAATTTTCCCAGCTTGCCTCAAGACGGCAAAAATCTTAGCTGGACGGACGCAGAAGGCTGTACTTCTTAGTTCGCTACGTATGCTCAGTTAACACGATTCTCAAACCTAATGATCACGCATCCTACAATTATTAGTAGTGGTCATTGGTTAATGATTCTGGCATTCCCTCCGAATAGGTCGAACTTCGGGTCCCGAGCTTGACCAGCAATTGCTTTTCAGATGATAATAACAATAATTGGTCCGAATATTAGGATTGAGGGAGTGGATTGGAATAAGAATATGAAAGATCAAGTGGATAGGGAAGAGTTTGTACACTTACATGCTATTTATATAGATACCAACGCTACCAACTGAAATATGTAAAACATTTCCAGGCTAGCACCTTACTAGAAAATAACATATAATATTATATCCGATATTCGGCATTCCCATACTAGTCTCGAAGTCACTAGTCTCGAAGTCACTAGTTGAAGGAATATTGAAGCTTTTGTTGAAACCTTTAATTATTGAGTGTAATGTAAATGTCGAGATAACTTTTCATCATCCACTGTTTGTCAAAAGTGTACTTTGGTATCATGTATTTATGTATACACTTAGTGCCACCTCTTTTTAATTTAATTTGTTATGTTCGAAAGTAGGTCATTTCATTAATGACACCTGTGATCAGAGCAATCATTTCAACAGAATGGTCTGATTGGATGCAGGATTCGAAGCGTAAGGAAACTAGAAATTATGTTAAACGGTTTTATTGAAAGAAAAGATAATAATGATTTAGATAATGTACTAAAAACTAAAAAAATATCCGAATGGTCCTGGGTAGCAGCAATTCCTCAACAATCTTCGGTATTAATGAGATAAAAAAAAATCATTGGGCGTAGTATTTACATATTTACTCAAGTTACGCTACGCCCAACGATTTTATTATTTTTTTATCTGATCAATGCCGTAGATTGCTNTTAGAGGGAAAGTCAAAAGACGATGCACCAAAAAATTCAACCCAGCACGTTTGTGCTGTCCACAGTGATGTGAACTGTCAGGAATATACCTGTACGTGCTTGTTTCTTTTCTAAATATATCGTATTCTAACCTTTTATCTTTGCTCCTCATTACCAAAACGTCAAGAAATGGTAGTTGTCCCTTATTTTCACGTATGAAGTAGAATTAAAAAATGTTGAGGATTGTTTTACCCGAGTTGTGTCCTTCTTTAACTGGGCTAATTCATTGATGGAAGAACTCTGTCTCGTTCTCTTCGTCTCTTTCCTTCCATTCGGTGTGAAAAGATAAGCTCTACATCGACACCGCTGATTTGGCACAATAGAAGGTTTATTCGATACTATTTATGGATCATGATATATTATTCATATGCTGGAACTGCGAATGGGCTATGTTTGATAAAGGTGTGAGCGACAGTATTTCCAGGGTTCACCTTGAAATATAACCTATGAAAAAAAATGATTCCTTAAAGAAAAGCTTAGAAACAACGAGGAATCACTCACTTCAACAGAGTCCATTTATTACAATAATACTATCCATGATAATGATAAAACATACTGCAGACACGTTTTTCTGGCTCTTTTCCTGTTATCAGTACGTTGCACAACTGCGCAACACTTTGTTACAGAAAAGAACACAAATGCATCATCAACAGAAGCCAGCCACACTTTGTTACAAGTTACGAAAATCGATTAGATAAATGGTGATGTAAAGTACTTAAGCAAATTAAAGACGAATTCAAATAATTCCGCATTTAATGAGCTAGTAGTACCTAATCATCCACCTGTCTAATTCTTAGATTGATGAAATGAATGAAAAACACTTCGTGTAATTTCCACTAGATATTTTATTTTTACGACCGGTTTTAGGTTTTACCTCATTATCAAGTATAAACTTACATTTGATTTCTGAAAACGAGGTTATATAAGGAGTTTGTAGGTAAACTGGAAAACGAGGTTTCAACACTGGAGATTATAGGCATTACCAGGGTTATCAAACTCATAAATTCAAGAGTAGAGTTTGAAAACCCCAGTAATTTCTATAATCTCCAGTGTTGAATGTTATAGTTGGACCCTTGTTCATTTAACTATCTCGTTTTCCAGTTTACCTACAAACTCCTTACGTAACACCGTTTTCAGAATTCAAATGTTAGTTTATACTTGATATACAGTTTGGTGACGGGTCTCATATATGTTCCATGTTTATTCCTAATTCGAACAAATCTCTAGACTTTGTTTTTACCGGGAAATGTTTCTTCTATTTTTCCTATGATCCATTTGATTTCTAAGTGCCTTATCGTCCACAATTAAAACTATTTCGCCAATTCTTATAGAATAGGTAAGTTACCCGTTGTTTTCAGTACGTATCTGTTAATGATTGTGATTTATAAAAATGTGCTGTCCATATACAGTGAATTTCTTTAATGTCCCCCTCTTTAACTTTTTGACTTTCAAGATGGCGTTGATTTCTAAGTGCCTTATCGTCCACAATTAAAACTATTTCGCCAATTCTTATAGAATAGGTAAGTTACCCGTTGTTTTCAGTACGTATCTGTTAATGATTGTGATTTATAAAAATGTGCTGTCCATATACAGTGAATTTCTTTAATGTCCCCCTCTTTAATTTTTTGAACGGGTCAACTCAAAAAATTAAAATTTGGGATAGTGCATTAGGATAATTAATACATGAATACTTTATTTTGAAGTGAAATTGATAGATGAAACTTTCAAGATGGCGACTGGGCGCCATCTGGGAAAAAAAAATTAAATGGAAAGGGAGGTCTTGTGACACATCTTTATGTTAACAGTTGAGAGAACACATTGACAATTTCTCTATACTTCCAATAACTCAACGTGGATTTCGTAAAGGACATAGTTGTGCAACGGCTTTCCTGCATATAGTTGACGATATTGTTAGAGCACGTGACGCAAACAATAATACAGTATTGTTGCTTTTTGATTTTAATAGGGCTTTCGATACTATTTACTTCAATTTAATGTTATTAATTCTTGGCTATATAGGACACTACAAAAATGGTATATCACAAATCAGATCGTATCTCACTGACCGTCAACAAAAGGTTACCATAGAAGGAATCAGCTCGCAATATGTAAAGCTGATATGTGGGGTGCCACAAGGTTCTATTTTGGGACCCCTTTTGCTTGCAA